AAAAAAAAAAAAAAAAAAAAAAAATAGTCCCCGCAGAATAAGGGAACTGGAAATCTCAGTGTGAAGCAGCCTGCCTGCAGGGCTGAAACCGGAAGCCAGCGGCAGTAAAAAAAAAGATGTTGTAACCTAACCTAAAATGCCTCAGACACGGAGGAAACACCTGCTGCAATACTCAAACACCACCACGCCCAAGATCAGAACACCACAATTACTAGATAATAATATTTTGAAGACTGCTCAAGACGTAGCAGGGGATAAATATCAATTCTGGTGCTTTTTTGAGTTCTGCTATTTCAAGCAGCTCCCTCACTTACAAGGAGAAAGTTCAACCATGAAGAAACGAAACATGTGAAACCTCTGCCTCCCACCTCCTTACCGACTCTGGCTGTGTGCCCCTCTAGCATGGAGAGCTTTTTTCCTGCAGCTGCATCCCAGATCTGTACAAAGCCCTTATGAGTGCCAACGGCTACCAAGTTCCCCTAGACAAACAGAAAACCATGATCAGTAAAGCCAGTAAGTACAGACAGACGTAAAACAAAAGCTAGAAGCTGAGGAAGACTTGAGATAAATCCCACAAGATAGAAAGCATCCAGAGTTCTCCCATCTTACATCTTTTCCGTACTGAGAGGGCCAAGCAGCCTGGCTGGAATATATTTATGGTAACATTTTATTGTCAAGAGCTGGAGAAGCGAACTGGCTCTTTCTCCCTCCCACACCTCTTAGCAAATGCCTCGAGAACCTCAAGATACAAGAGGTTGCTCTCTGTCCCCTCTCATTTAGCGGAGAAAAATAGTGCAGACAGGAGAACACACGTGACTTGTGATGCATACAGGGAGTTTGGGGAAAATAACCCAAGAAGTTAAAGCCTGTGAGGAAGAGCTACATGGTTACAATGACAGTGCCTAAATTACAAGCGTTTCAGCCGTCATTGTCAACAATGTTATACTGACCCGTTCTGACCAGCCCACCGATGTTACAGAATCTCCTTCCACAGAGAGATCACACAGTCGGGTTACCTTGAAAGTAGGACAGAACGGAGTAAGAAACACTTGTTTTTGTCATACTACACTATTAGCTGTCTCACAGACTAGTACGAAGTTTGGGACAGAGCATTACAAGTGCTGAATCCCTCACACAGCATGTTCCATAGCTCTGAAAGATGCTATGGCTGGAAAAGACCTACAGCAACGGGTATTTCACTCTCCGAACACTGATGATCATTTACCTGGCTAGTACAAGCGCTCCATAGGTAAACACAAGTCCCAAGGCCAACGCTGAGGACGTTAAGAGAGGACCAGTCCACCAGGTTCAGGTAGAAGTCGTCCTGCAGCTCTGGGGCATCCAGCACTTTGAAAGGAATCTTTGAGATTTTCCGAGTTGGTTTTCGAGGTGATCTTAGCAGCTTCTGACTGTTTACAAAAACAGATATAAAAACAACTACAGGATTTTACACATCACAGCAGATGGTAGACACAGACGTGGCCGCTCTTTGAAGCATACCTGCATTTCTATAGAAATGCACAGACAAAGAGGCCGCAAAATTCTTTCCAGCAGGTGAGACTGGAAGGAATTAGGTTCCGCTTCTATAAAGGAGCGAGGGAGCAAAAAGATAAACTGACTACTGAAAGTTGGCCAAGACACATTAAGTACCTAGGCAGGTTGGGCATCTGCAGAAATTCTTAGAACTTGACTTGTCCCTACTTATCATCTCCCCAGATTTCCAAAAGCAATTCACATAGCAATTTCGGGTGCCTTAGAAAGAAGCCCTAGAGAACCTCACTGAATCCTCTGTCCCAATCCTTCCCTTCTCACAGCCCGTGGAGAATCAGTATTACCTTTTGTTGCTGACAGGAGACAGGGAATATGGTGAGACCTCGTTGCCGTCATCTGGACTAGAGCGTTTTGTGCTGAGCGAATACTGCATAAAGAAAACACATCTAGTAAGAACCCCAGCATGCCCAAAACCTAGGGGATCACTCACAACACGCACTGGTGCCTGATGCCTAGCTAACTCCAACACCCACAGTCAGATTTTCCAGACTTTTCAGTTCCTCCCTTTCCCAGGTGCTCCGGAACCATACAAAAAAACCCTCAGCTCCACTGAAGTCCAAAAGCTTGATTTGGTCATTTACCACACTGCCCAAAAAAGCTTCGTTCCAACTCAGCTTCCCTGCCAGTACAGAAATAGGAAGTACGTGGCTTGCTGCAGGTACTTATGCTCTCTTTACAGGCCACCAAATTTTGTTATCAACAGCTTATCTTAGTGAAGCCACAACACTCACTCACTTGCACTAGCAGCTTGGCAGAACAGTGTGCTTTGTTCCTGTGACGCACACGTGCAACCTCCATTGGTTTTAATGCAAAGTAACCAACTTACAGTGAAGAGAGACTTCTTCTCCGGGGTGGATGGCTGCAGCCTCCTGTCTTCCGTCTGTGGGTCTTGCACTTTCTCGATCCCTGCTCCTAAGAGTTCGTTCTTCAGCAAGGCAGAGTAAGCAAGGCCATCTGTGAACCCAAACGGAGCGCTTAGGCAGAGAACTCGGAAGCAGCAAACAGCTCTGCAGGGAGCGGCAGGATCGCGTGTGCCTGACTTGTACATTCACAGGGCCTCTTAATAAGCCTGGGGCCCCAGTTTGGAATCAGGATTAGCAGCAAGCTTCCCCTCCTTCCACTCCATCAGGAAAGTGCTTCCACGGCACAATAAATCAAGGGATACAAATAGCCTCTCGCTTCCCAGATGCTCGTCAGAAGCCTATGGAGGTGACCTGGTATTCACTCTCGTGATGTGGGCATTTCCTAAAACACCAGCATGAGATTTTGCATAAGCACGAAAGTGCCAGTGTTCCCTTGATTTCAAAACTCACCAACAGTTTGAAATAAAAGCTATAGGTGTGGCACAAGCAGTAGAAAGGTGGTCTCACCTTTGCCATTGTCCGATGTAGCATCCTTTGCTTTTCTGTTTTGACTTGGTGATTTTTCATTTTCCTGAAAGGGAAAAACATGCTATCACCATACAGAAACCTCACGATATACGGTAAAATAACAAAGAAGTCTCCTGGACCACAGGGGCGGCCTGGTTGAAGACATGCATTCAAAGGAACTCTTTTGGGGCAGCAGAAGACCATGGTGCAGAAGATAAGCAGAGCAATTAAACCAGCCAAAACAAAACGCACCATTTCCTCAGTTCCAAGACTGAGCTGTAGGAGAGGGGAGCAAAACTTACATTTATTCTGTGGAAGTTGATGCTCCAGTTGGCCCCAGCTCTTGAGGGAATGAATCTGTCACCATGCTTACTAGGAGAAGACATTGGAGAATTGGAAGGCGTCAGGGTTCTTCTCATCTCTGCTACCTGAATTAAAGAATAAAACACACACAAGAACAAGTGTTGATCACAGCAGGGGTCTGAAAAACATCAATGAGGTCTTGTCAAAGCTGAAGAGTCTTGTCAAAGTAGAAGAGCCAAGCATTAGTTTATCCCCTTAACAGAACTAGTAAGTACGTCAGAGTCCAACTGTCATGGGAACTTCTGTCAAAAGAAGCAATTAAAGAGCCTCTTTCTCACTGCTCCTTCTCAAGCTGACATTGTCAAGGCAAACACGTGGAAGGCTGGAGTGGGGCAGACTGCTTGCAGGGTGAGCAGCAGATTTCTCAACTGCAGTCACATTCTTTTTCATAGAATAATTTATGTTGGAAAGGACCCCAGCTCAGAACAGGGCTAATTTCAAAGTTACATTGAAGGTCACAGCCTCATCCAGTTGAGTTTTTAGCATCTCCAAGGACAATGACCCCACAAGCTCCCTGTTGCAGTGTTTGGCCTCCCTCACTGTGAACATTTCTTCCGAATATCTAACTGGAATTCCCCCTGTTGCAGCTTGCGTTCATTGCCTCTAATCCTTCCACAGTGTACCTCTGACTCCATTTTCTCCGTAACCACCCACCAGGCAGTTGAAAGCAACAATTTCATCCCTCCTGAGCCTCATCTTCTCCAGGCTGAGCAACACAGGTCTCAGCACCTTCCTGCTCTAGCCCCCGGACCACCTTGGTGGCCTCCACTGGACTTGCTCTATCTTGTCAAGCTCTACAGTTGGTTTGTTTGTTTGTTAGCCCCCAACTTTTTACGTTCCACATGTACTTACTGAGATTATTTAGTAAAAAGGCATTACTGAGCTACATAAAAATATCTTAACTCCTTTTTGCAACCTGAACTGAGTTTATATGTTCAAAAGCTTTGTTGAAGTCAAGTTATTTGGTTATTCCTAGAACAGCTTAGGAACTCACACCTGCTCACCCCCCAACAAAAGACTAAGGTTGGCTTCAAAGAGGTCCCGTATCTTTCAAAAGCTCAAGTGAAAACAGTCACAGGCAAGAAGACAACAACTTAATAGTCAGACTAAGACCATTTAGCATAGCCCACTCGTACTTACGCAAGGCATTGTGTTTTCATTCTGTATGTTGATTTGGCGTAGGA